TGAGTCATCAGGTATGTATCGATATGTCCAATTTTGACTGTTTTTAACGTAATATCTTTATACGAATAGACGATCGATCTGCGTTCAAGTCTCGAGAAAAGATAATAATTAGTCATGGCGTGTTACACGAAAACTAAGCGTGAATGGTCCAGTGAAATATATCTCATTGGACCGGCATTTATACACCAATCATGCGAACCACGGATGTCTGTTTCGATCAACCGGTTTTGGTCGCACACGGTGATGCAGACGACAGATGCCAATCTACTCCTCTTGATACGATATATATATATATATATATATATATATATATATATATGATATATAATATATATATATATATATATATATATATATATATATATATATATATATATATATATATATATATATATATATATATATATATATATATATATATATATATATATATATATATATATATATATATATATATATATATATATATATATATATATATATATATATATATATATATATATATATATATATATATATATATATATATATATATATATATATATATATATATATATATATATATATATATATATATATATATATATATATATATATATATATATATATATATATATATATATATATATATATATATATATATATATATATATATATATATATATATATATATATATATATATATATATATATATATATATATATATATATATATATATATATATATATATATATATATATATATATATATATATATATATATATATTATATATATATATATATATATATACATATATATATATATATCTTTTCCCATAATATGACAGTGATATAATTGAATACAATTGTCTTTGTTATTTATTTCCGCGAGTCGGCCGCATTCGTGTACCGCAGAATAACGATCGGCTGAAATTTCCACACAAACAGGATACGTTCGAGAGGATCGTCAAGGCTTTAGCCGGTTTACCCAGGAAACGCTTAGATGCTCGAATCGCATTTAGACTTTTAAATTAAGCCTCTTCCCCCACCCTTCCTCTGACGCTTCACGTGTTAATGGAAGAACACTCATGAAGAGTATTCGATCGGAAAGGAAGTTTTTTCTCTCCAGTCGTAAAATGCAGTCTGTCGATGCTCCGAACGAAAGAACCTATAGTGGAAGTGTGAATGCTGAGTTACAGCTTGGTTCCAAAGCATATCGTAGGAATATTGAGTTGCGAATAGAGTTTTGACTGAAATATAAAATAACTATACTTTTAATAATAATAACACACCATTAAGGATTTCATTGAATTACAATTATTCGTTGCACAGAAATTTTGTGCAGGATTTATGTGTAGAAGTAGTCTAATAAATCACAACGAAAAAAAATAATTAAAGGATAAAAAGGATAGAGGAATGTAGTGTCTTCGTTTTCTTAGCTGTTACAGTCTGAGCATAAAAGCATCCCCTTCCTCTACGACAATTTTATACTTCTCTTGTGCTGTATTAATTTTTAATACCGTGTCCTTTTCAAGCACAGTGTGTTTTCCGCCAGTGGTTTCTGGAACTAACGAGCCACGAACCTTCCATGAAAAATCAATCTACGTTGATACGATTTTAATAATAGTGCTTCCTTCTATGCTAGATATGATCCGTTTATCTTCTTTATTTTATGTTGTTTCAGGAAAGAGTAATACTTTAGAAAATATTAATTATCCGAATCTTCGTTGAACTGCAGGAATAAAAATGCAAGTATTGCACATAGAATTATTTCAATGATATATTCCTAAATACATATTCATGATTATTTGTAAATATTTAGTTCCATTAATATAATAATTCATGCGATCAAATGACACTAAACTATCGCAAATCACCAATGACTGACGCCAGATTGAATACATCAAATCATTAATGGTATTAATCGTAAATTGATTGGTAGTCATATCATATAATATCTACAAATGAAAAACGCTACTATAATCGTGCACTAATCTAAGGAAAACACACGTGTGCACGTGTATAAACATATAATTTTTTAATAATTGAAAAGGGTTACAAATCTTCTTGTGCGATGTCTTTTACCACGTTCGGTCCCGCTTTCACTAATCAATTCAGTTTCGTGGAAAACTCTTTCAGCCTGTAATGAATTACTTAGGTAATTGTTAATGTGTTTATTCATTAACACTTGTCGCGTTTGTAAAATCTTCAATGGATAAAAATATTAATACATTGCAGGTGAAAATTTATTGAATTGTAAAAATCTTCAACGTTATTAATAATTATAAAGGTATATACGTGAATTTACAAGCTACATGTTAAATCTATGCTTCGTTCTTTAATTTGCTTTTATAACGATTGATAACGATTTCTAGATTGGGGGAATTAATATTGTACGATGTAACGTTGCAATGCTGGATATACTATAGAATGAGAGTAAAATTTAATGTTATATACTTTTGTAAATTTCAATTCTGCGGTTATATTTTTATCGATACAATAAACGGAATTTTATGCGAACAAAGATTCGAGTTTCGTGCGGAAAATTTCATTTAGAACAGAAGACATATGCTAAATATAATTCAATAATATCTCTATAGAAATTTCTTTTTATTCACTATAGGAGATATTGAAAAACTGAATATATTTCATAATTTTTCTAACTAGACCATTCTGGTAGTTTATTTACTCACCAGAAGTGGCTCGCTTTTGTCATTTGGATAACAATCGGCGGCGATTCGCATGGAAATTGGATTTGCTTGAGGTTTCATTATGGTCATTTGCCTTATCGTCGTTTGAATTATACGTGGCGATCTCACGGCCGCAATATCGATTCCACTTTATCACGTTTACCTTCGATAAACTGTTCGCATCTTTGCCAACGAGTATTCATCAGAATGGGGGCAGGGATTTTTGGTCGGTTACTAAGTACGTTAACACAGGATTGTACCTGTAATCCGGACGCTAACTAGATTTAGTAATTATCAAAGGAGAGCCATGTAATCAGGGATGACACAGAAAGTCTTTATTGTCTTTGTAAAACTATCGCTCGAGTCCTCATAAATTTCCTTTACAACAAAAGAATTGACAAAAGGTTTATAATTTCGTGTAGAAGTCTTGTATTTACTGTAAGTAAGTGCTTTTTCAGAGAAGTATTCGAATTAAAAACTTATTTTTATAAAAGTAATTAAAAGAAAAATGAAAACGGTGACTGTATGCGAAGGTAACAAAGGTTGAAACGAATTCAAAGGCAAATTAAAAAACAACCATTTTCAAAGTCGTTTTATATCGAACGACTACGAATTCGAATAAAAAAATTAAAAAAACATACCTCAAAACTGTCGGTAAACAATAGGAGATTAAAAAAGACGAAAGAACAAACTCTTTCGTTCCCATAAAAACTAGGAATATTCGGCAAAATGCCTGTTGGAACGCGAAACTGCGACAAAACTTTTTCGCCGCATCGTACGTTTTCAAGCCGTAATCGTGGTCCCCGAGGCGACGAGCCTGTTCTCCAAGACATTTTCTCCTCCACGGAAAGGGCCTCTTATCGTCAGTGATTACGACTTTTTAACGGGGATTTCCTCCCTCTTCGTCTCATCTGGCCGCATTTCTCGTTTCCTTTGCCCTTCTGTCTGTTCATACCGGTCTCGAGCCCCGCTGTCGAACGTTTCCGCGATTGTAACTGGATTCTCCGGTATCATCATCTTCAACCCCTTTGCGACCTCGTCGAACCGAACTTCTTTTACCTCCTTAGACATTTCCTTTTTTCATTTTTAACTTTGAATTCGATTTGCATGTGAAAGAATGCCATTCAGAACTTCTTACTCATCCTTGAGGTTGGCCTGTTCTTTGAAGCGTTCTTGACCTGGGTCCACTCGAAGCCGACCCTGTGTCATGCAAATTTTATTATATGACCGCTCTTGGATCTGACCAACGCCTTCGTCTTTTCGATGTCGCTCTTTTGCACAATTGCGGACACGTCAATCGCGATTAACGCTGTGCTCGCGAACGACTTTCTGCTTGACATTGCTCAAATGTATTTCTTGCTCGATGAAAAGGATCTACTGTTTGATTTATGTCAAAGACTGTGGTGCCTTGCGCAGATCCAAATATAATTTGTTCTCGTAGATTTCTCAGTATTTTTTTGATTTTTATACCAAATTGACCTATGTTAAATCAATTTTTGAACTAATATAAAGTAGACGCTCGAAGTTCGAACTATTCGACGTTCAAATAAGAATGCCAAGAAAAATTCGACTTTTGAACTCAACGAAAACTCGAAGCTCCAACAAAGGGATAAAGAGTCACTTGTCTCGTAACCGTCACGTGGCTGCATTATTTCTCTATTTAGGCCCAGGTCAGGCGAAATGCTAGCTGAGAAGAAAAGAGGAAAACAAGGCTATGTTCACTGCATGTGCAGTTCTCTTGTGACTTTGTAATTGGTTCAGCAATTGTTCATAATAGCATTTTCAACCGTTTCATTTATATCATTTAGTTATTTTCATATACATTTATGTATTTTTTAAAATGATTTCCATTCATAACTTTATCAATGAAAGATACCTAAGATACCTGAAAATGCTAAAAAAGAAGTCGTATATATTTTATATTTTAGATAGAACATAGAAAGGAGCTCATCAATAAATATAAAAGTATGAATTTGGTAGTAGTTTATTGAAACTCGTTTTTTTTACTATTTATCAATATGATCTTTTGAAATAGGCAGTTAAAATGGAAAAGATTGAGTAAATTTTGAATGTCTGAAACGGATTAATTCAATTAATTAAATCAAATAGTAAAACCTAAATCGAAATTCGAACAACTGAAAGATCGAACCGTTTCCTGGAACGGGTTATGTTCGAACTTCGAAGATCGACTGTATTTCATCTAAATGTAATATTCGCAAACATGTAGAGAACATTTATTTTGGCTAAGTATGCAACTGATTATGAGTGAGTTAATCTATGTAACTGTATTAATGGACAAATATTACACAAAAACATGTTTCTGTTCACAGTGCCTCCAAATATAGAGGACTATCAGTCCTCGTCAGATGTCATTGTGAGAGAAGGTGCGAATGTGAGTCTAACGTGCAAAGCGACTGGAAGTCCTAAACCAGCTATAAGCTGGAAAAGAGACGATAGTTCAAAGATCTCAATTAACAAAACGTATTCTGGTAAGTATACGTTATTATTGACTTATCATGAATAAATATTATTACAACAATCTATTCGATGTAATAGCAATACATAATACGATTGTGATGATAGAGTTTGACTTGAAACGATAATTTAATATCGCAATTGACCGTTATAGTTATAACTCGATTTTACAGTTTGATAATATTTTTATGTCTAAAGTTGCTCTCGTTATTTTACTAGTTTTTTCTCAATGGTTATTTTCTCCGCATGTTTTTCATGTACTCTTCTCTTCTGTTTTTCTAGTCCTGTGTTCACTTTGTTTTCCTGTCATATATGAAATATCATATAGGGTGACTTTTAGTTGCTTTGTAAATTTAAATTACAGTGAATCAATGAATATTATTTGAAATATTATTGAAATGTTATTAACTATAGCATAAAATGTGATATGTTTGTCTTTTTCGCAAGAAGTCTGAACGATTGTCACCTAAATCTAAGTTATCCGTATGTTCCTTTTTAATCTGTAATCTTTAGATGTGATGTTCTCTTCAGAGTACAACCAACGTCGATCCGTAACCGTGTTTCGAAAAATTCGGGGGAGTAGAAGCGCGCTGCAATTAAAAATAATGACATTCGTTTGACTTCTATCCGAAGATCAAACATGCTCTACCTCAAAAACTGTGTTACCGCAATCACAGAGAAGATCGTGCGGTAGGGTCGTGAAGAGAAGAGCAAAGGAAGATTGAAAAGAAGGAGAGAAAATGTAAACGTGTCAAAAGACAGTGGATTTAATGAAAACAGGACGAAGGGAAAGATATTTCTCATTAACACGTCACGTAATTCCGAGGACTCGGAGAACTCGCGAATTCCATGTCGTTAAACGGCTAGGGTGAGGATCTTGTAACGCGTAATTACGTTGGCCACAGATTTTAAAGAACGATGCGTTGAAGTCTTTACACGGTTTCGCGGTTCAGAAAGCGTATTAATTTATTGGAGTAAATAAGGGATGCCACGGTGTGTCGGAGGAATTTAAAACGGATATGTAGAATTTCAACTTCATAAAAATTAACGCATTAGAACCATCGGAGATGGCGCTCCTATTATTTAAAGAAATCAAGAATTTAATTCCGGTTACGAACATAATAGGATTTATTAAATGCGATACAGGAAGCGTTATATAGATATCGAAATTGGAAAAGTGTAATTAACGTGTTCATCAGGTGGCAAAATTAATTTTATGTTTGCAAACACGGTTAAATTATATTATAAAGAGAACTGGTAAACTTCGATTTAAAAGTTTTACAATCCTCTTTTCAGTAAAAGAATTTCAATGTGTTAGAAAGTAATGATTTTACTTATCCATGACTACTAAATTATGTTTTAATGGAATAAAAATTACGTGCAAATCAGTTTCAATCTTTATTTTATACATAATTTTATAAGCAAATTTCACCGAGTTTGAAAATAACGCGGGACATACAGAAATATAATTTCTAGAATTAGCAAAGGCTCGAAAAACTTGGAATTTGCCATAGTAGAACGAACTCGTATGGAGACAGATACATTTAGCATTTCCCGGCCATTTTTTCCACCTCTGTTCGTTGGTTTGTCAATTAACTAAAATTAGCTTTTAGACTCTGTCGAGTGGTTATTCCGCGACGTCGGATAGGGAAAATAAAAGCGCCAAAATCGCCTGTCTAGCTAAAGTGTCGCTTATCATTTTTAGTATTGGAGTGGAAAGGCGAGACGCTGGAAATCACACGGATCTCAAGATTGGACATGGGCGTTTATTTATGCATCGCAACGAATGGCGTCCCTCCGACTGTGAGCAAACAGATCAAAGTTTCCGTCGACTGTAAGTGAATCTTTTATTTCAATTCATATATTGATAAATTCGTAATGATTTTCATTCTGGGCGGTATTGACTCTTTTTTAATTTTCGATAATCAATATTCAATGGAAGATACATGTAAAAATCTTGAAAGCTTCAAGATGTCTCAAATTGACTCAAACTGGAAAAACCAGGAACTTTAACTCAAACGTTAAAAACCAAATGCGGTTCAGATTATTTAAAAAGTTTAAATAACTAACAAATTGATATTTCTAATTAATCTAAGTAATATCTTCATCTCCTGATTTTATTGTCTATCTCTAAAATCAATTCTGTATTCCTAAAACCTATATAAATTGAGAAAATACAATCGCAAATTTACAAATACAATCGCAAATTTAAAAATACATTCTCCATCTGTCCGAAACACGCAAACGCGAAACATGAAGCGCAAAGATGGCTAAAGAGTTGAAGAACATACAATTTAATAATAGAGAAAGGTGTCCGGCGACAAAGCGCCTCTTTACTGCTTACAAAGCGGTTCGTTCCTTCTATTCTCGGCAGAGCAGAAGCGAGGGGATATGTGAGAGACAACGGTTGTAACTGAGAAAGAGAAACACGTTTGACTCGTGCGAAAGAGTAAACGCGAATAGTACAGAGGGTGAAGAGTAAGGATGGTGTGATATAAAAGTAAGCTCGGGATGAACCACGACACACTGTTACTCCATTTCTATCCTATACGCTTGCCTATTGTTACGTTACTGCTCCTTCTAAATACTGAGCGTTCCCTGCGTCACATCAACTTCCTTTTCTTGAAAGCTCGATTACTACCGACGAAAGGTCGTATTAAACGGTTTGTCGCGACGCGACGTTTTGACCATTTTTAAGCTGTCGATAAAAGATTCTATGACATATCATCCGAAATTTTTATAATATGATATTATCGAAGGATAAATATTCGATTTGACGTTAATCACAGAAAAAGGGTTAACCGACAAGTTAATTAAACGACAGTTTAATATAACTTCTCTTCTTTCACATGGGATATAAGAAATTCATTGGCAAAAAAGACTGTACAGCATCCTAAGTTGTCCATCGTTTATCAAAGAGCTATGATAAGAGATACGAAAAAAAACGAATACAAAAAAGCTGACAAAGGTTCACGCAGAATACCAGGTTTCGTTGTTGCACGTTCGCTTATAAGAAAACCGAGCCACGTGCATGCGCGCGCGCGCCATCCAAGAGACGAAAACCAAGGAGTTATCCCTTTAGTTAAAGCGAGACTAATTAATTTAGCGGCGCCGTAAAGAAGCGTCGAATTGCGATTCAGAGCCAGACCGGGTCTGGGGGTTGAAAAGAGGGGGATGTTTTTGCCCCTGATCTCTCAGCGGATGCGCGCCGAGGATTATCCTTTTAGGCGTCCTTTAATTCCATTTGTAGCCGGTGCTCCCGGGCAAAGGCTTTTGTCAACGAGTATTACCCCGAGCCCTTTGAAGTCAAATTGCAATCGAGTAATGTAATAGTTCTGTCCGCGATATGCATTACCGGCGCGGGCCCCAATTCAAGAAGAAACTTGCAATGGAAAGAAAATATAATTTTCTGCGTGAAGCATTCCAAGGACGCTGGGAACCAGCTTTTCGTAACGAGAAGATTATTTTTATGCTTATCAAGTTGTTCGGAATTCGTCACTTGGCTATGCAGCAACGAAGGAAATCACAAGAAGTACGAATTAGTTACGATACTGAAAAGTATTACGATAGGATATCGTCGTTATATTTCTCTGAACGGAAGTTCCGTGGATATAAAGGATCGTGAAATATCGCAAGGTGATCTTGCTTGAAAAAGAAAAAATCAAAGAAGTTAAAGTGGTCGAAGGTGCGCGAATCTCTATTTTAAATATTAAATACCTACGATTCAAACTCTAGACTGCAATAGTCCATTAAAATAATTTATCTTTGCGTGTTTGATGAATACATCGAGATGATTGCGTTCGGTTTCTTGAAGTCTCGTGCAGATGCAGTTGAATCTTCTCAACTGTCAAAGGAACACGTTGCTTGAGTTAAATGGAAGTGGGAATGGTTAATTCGCCGCAGAATCTGCGCATGCCACGTACCACTGAATCAACTCCTCTCGTTCTCATATTGTGTAGCTGATGAAGATAAATATTTGGGAATTGACTAAATATTTGGGAATTGACTAAATTGAAATTTGCATGCTTAGTGATGCGAATTACGGTAACATACTTTTGCTTTAAACATAGTAAGTAATTTTGAAAAGAAAAAAGGAAATAATTTTACAAACGAATCTTTCTCTATGTTTATACATAGTATATACACGTGTACATTTGAAGTAGATTAAAGCGAACTAAGGTGACAATAAAATTTTTCATTACGTACTGCGATAAACTATTAGGTCATCCCATAAGTTCGTGCCGACTTTTGTGTATACATTTCATGTGTCGATCTATAAACATACTGCGATAAGGGACCAATGCACTTGAGCTTAGCTGATCGATAACAGGCTAGAGCAGATTTTCGTGGATATAAGATCATAATATAGTGAACACAGTGACTTCTAACAGTAAAAAATCATGAGTGCATTGCGTATCCATTTTCGACATCTCATGTTATATGAATTTCGGAAAGGAAGTTCTGTAACAATTGCCACGAAAAACATATGTGCTGTTTACGGAGAAAATGCGCTTTCATCTCGCACCTGTAGGAAGTGGTTCCAACGTTCTAGAGCTGGGAATTTCTGTTTAGAAGACGAGGAACGCTCCGGGCGTCCTCCTCAGACAGACGAAGATACAATTCGGGATTTTGTTGAAAAATCACGAAGTTTGACAGTTCAAGAGATGTCAAATGTTCTGAAAATACCTAAGACAACGATTCATAGGTGTTTGAAAAAAATAACATATATAACCGCTCGAAAAACGGCACGAACTTATGGGATGACCTAATATTTCAAGATTAATACAAGATTTATTGAAACAATATACACCTTTTGACATACAATATAGAATATGCAGAGATCCGAGAAAACAGATTCACACGATTGCTCTCTAAATTGCCAATTTTCTCATTAACTGCGGAGTTTAGTTTCAAAAATTCCTGGCTGATTACACAGCTATATCAAGCAATTACGAGTAATACACGTCAAGCGCAGATCAAATGCTCCTTTTATAAATTTTACGAAAAAAGTAAAGCAAAACGAGGAAGTCCTACATTTTTATTCAAAACAAGTTATTAAAAACTTAAGAATTGTCAAAAAATAATAAAGTAAAGTTCACAAGCCAATTCAGGGAATAGCTGATATACGCAGTAAAATACACAAAATAATTTGGGGAATAGCTGATGCATTGGGGAAAATAATCGATTCAATTTACAAAAAGCAATACATTATACGGAACATAAACGGTATACCAAAGAGAATAATCAAATAATCAAAATTTTTTTAAGTCTTTTTGTCTTTTTTATAAAATATATAATAGTTTTACTGATAGAATAAAGGAAAAACACCACTAAATGTCATTTATATTACTTTTTAATAAAATTTTTAGTTTTTATAGTAAATGGTAATTTTTTATTTTACATGACGAGTGTATACGTCAACTGTACCGAAGTAAAGTTTTGCATTGACATGTATACACGTCGAACGCAGTTAACTGGTTAGCTCCAATACAAAACAAGATTCCACCTTGGCGAGTCTAACGAATCGCTCTCGATCCGCCTCTTACCACTGTTCCCAGATTCAGTCACGAGGCGTAGGTGATAACGAGATATATGCCGCGGTTTTGCTTCTGACGCTTTGCCCTCCCCTCTCGCTATATTTTTTCTTCCTCACCGCGTGCTTTGCTTTAATCAATCCTTTATAAGCATCCCTCGAAGCGCGGCCCATTTATTCTTTCAGAGTGTGTCCATTCGTTTTTAAAAACGCGTATACGTCGGAACCGTGTGCATAACGTATCAAAGCAACAGCGGCAGCATTCTGAAAAGCGCCCGTTATCGATCGCACGTAATCTAAGGAGTGCAGCGAGAGCAAGCGAGGAAGATAGAATGACAGAGGGAAAAAGGTAGGAGCACGAGCGAAAGTCCTGTAAGTTGACGTTTTTTAATTTGGACATGGCCGCCACGGTTAATGACGGTTGCGCTTGATTCACGTAGGCAAATCTGCCGACGGGACATGGTCGTTTCTCGTGGGGCAGAAAGGTCACAGGACGAAACGGGATGAATCTGTTGGGAAAATGAACCGAGACCCCGGCTCGGCTTTCACCTGTGACCGCCTCCTTGCCCAAAGACCGTTTAATCATTTATACGTGTTTTAACCTTTCTCGATTCAATCTTTTTCCCAACGAATCTATTGTCACGGCTAATTGACGTTGAATATGGATGTACGTAAGGTTTTGTTCAGTTGCGCGAAGGTAGTTTGCGAATGAATATGCGAATCGACCTCTGGGTAGTTTTAATCGTTGACAAACAGAATTTTATTTCATTGCGGGCTTTTGCTTTTCAGGTATACGGTTCCGATGTATATTGTATATGTATGTTGTATATTGTATACAATTTGAATTCCACTGTTAGCCGTAAGTTTTATCGATACTGTCATGTGCGTGTATTGATGGAACAAACACACTATTAGTCCTATCGATAAAACAATTACTTTATATAATAATTATGTACGATATAATTATGAAACTATAAACAAGAAAAATATTATATATAGTTTAACATTGTGTAAATTTGTACAAATTACCTTGGTCTGTCTTGTTCGTACGTTAGGCGATTTCGATGTTTTTAGCATGTATACAACTGACATAAATCTACAAAACGTATTTTTTTAATTTTCGTTACAGGCTCAGATAAACGAATTATAAGACGCGATCTGTACTATTTTCTTCACGATTTCGATCAATTGAAATTTTTTCAAAATTTTCTTTACATATCATCTAGTAAACTAGTCCTTTCAACTTCTGAAAAACATTCAAGTCGTCTGGTCTAATTTTAAAAAAGGGCGTCCGGATATTAAAGTCAGTAATTGTAGCTAGTAATGTACCTACATCAAATAAATATCTTGAACGGCGCAATCTGCTTCCTTGCTCTTTATGAACCACATTAAAGGGTGACAAATCCCAAATGTACTTTACAGATTAGTACCTGAAAAAGTAGTTCTTTAAGTCGTTCTTTCTCTAATATCTTTCTCTACATATAACCACAAACTTGTCTAGTTACGTGGATTGCATATATGTATGAAAGTATTGTACAATACACGAAAAGAAAGTATACTAATGATAAACACAGAATACTATATAATAGCTCAGTATTTCGTAAATCCTAAAATTATTAAAATTTCAAGCAAAAGGTTGGCCTTAATCATCCTAATCAATGTAACGATTAAAGAATATTTTAAAATTTTTCTCCTTTATTATTTTAAACTTATCACAAAAAAGAAAGTATAAAAGGATGCTTCCAATCGAGCTTAATCTGTTCGAAAGAACTTATCGACTTGCGAATATCGGGGTCGAAGGTAACGAAACTGCAAGACATTGGGGAAAATGTAGAGGGGTTGAACTTAGAAAAGGAGCTGGAAGCGGAAAGGGGGCGGTTGTACCGATGCGGCGACGTAGTCACGTATAAGCAGTGACTCAGCCTCCGCCCTCCTCTCGTTCTCGGCACCCTTCGCACTCGGCTCTCCATGTCCTTCTTCCTTGCTCCTTGCCGTGGTTCCAGTGGCAATCTGTTATTAAAATCAGCAACGAGAAAAATTCGTGCCGTATCTACGCAGGACGAGCCGCATACCGACAGACGTGTTGTGGCAAAAATTAAGCCACCTACTAACTCAAAAACAAAATTACCGCGAGGTGTGTGGAGTTGCGTATCAGATACAATCTTTTCAACAAATTTAAACGTTTTTTACGCGTAATTGATATTTGCAATATTTGATTTCGGCTTAATAGGCAGAAATTCTCAAAAAAATTTCTAAACGATTCTTTTATTATTTTCGTCATCCTGATTTTTCAAGTAGATTTTCTATTTGATTCATGATCGATCTATAAACTTGAAAAGTCCACAAAATCGCATTTCATTTGTCAGGTAAACGTTGACTGCGCTTTTCCAAGCGCTCTTTAACCGTGGAATAAGCGACATCGATAACGCAACCGGGTCAAGTATCTTTTTCATTTTGTTTTCTGTTTCCTCTCTTTCTTTTTCCTCCTCGTTCTTGGTTTACGCCACAGCGCGGATTGACATTTTGATTTAAACGATGCCTCCTTGAAATATTCATTTTACTTTGGAGCGCCGTGCTTATCATGTTTGCCGATTGTAATTTAATAGTCCGGCAGCGAGGAAATTGGAAATCTGCTCGCAACGCATATCGCGTGTTCGCCGATATTACAGATCGCTGTTTGAATCTATCGATTTCAGTTTATCCGGCTAAAGCCCCGAAATCATCTGCTCCTTGAACCAACGAAAATGTGATTTCGTGGTGGTACGCTAATCTACCGGTGAATTCGCAATCAATCGTCACATCCCGGCACCCTCCGAATAGATCTGGAAAATTTGCACGAACGATCCTTTCTAGGTCCGAAGCATTTTCGCCAGCTATTTATACGCAATCGCATAAAATGGTTCGGTCGGCGGCCTAGGGTTTTTCATGTTGTAGGTATTGGGCGGTTAACTAGATCGTGAGGTACATGTCTATAAGCAGGTTTGAGGATTGGTGTTTATTGGAGTATGTAATACCTTTAAGAGGGATTTTTATTCGTATCCTTCAAGAAAGAAAAAGGTTTTTAAAACTAGATAAAAATTGATAAAATTTTACAGAATATGATATGGTTCTAAATACTTGACGGCATATATTTATAAATAATTATAGAATATAAACCATCTAATAATTTCGACACTAAAGAACGATACTTCAAACCCAAAAACTACGACTCATTCATTATTAAAAATATAAACTCGTAACTTTATTCCCCTACTTAATTAAACCTCCACTTACCCCTCTATCGAAGCAAAAGAGCACACACAATACCGCGAGCACGTGAAATCCGCTTTGCGCATGCAAATCATAATTCGCGGGTGGGGCTTCCTCGTCGCTCAAAGGATTCCATTATTCGATCAAGCGCCACAGAAGACGAATACCAAAAAAAAAAAGAAAAAGGAAAAAGAAAAAGAACGATGAAAAAGGGGGAGGAGGAAATAGGGCTAAGGCGCAAGTGGGGAGCAAAGGGGGATGGTTCTCTAAAAAATTTCAATCAGTTCTACTGCTGCGAAAGGAGTCCCGGGAGCTGCCGCGGAAACCTTTTAGGACTGAAAAGAAGCACAATAATGATCGGATTTTCCCTCGATATCGATCTTACGGCCGTGTTTCCACGTCTGTCGCGGCACCTACCCGCCTACCTAGCCACCTACGAGCCCGTAAGAAGAAATATTGCTACTGAGACTGCACGAGACGGCAGGACAGGAGAGCACAGAGCCTTATCGGCTACGAGCT